ACCAGCGCCTGTTGTGTCAAGGGCTCCACTGTCAAGGGCTTCACTGAGGTCTGCAGCGGGGAGGGAGCTGACACGGAGGAGGGGGTGCTTGGTGCCCTGTATCCACAGAGAAGGTGCTAGAGGCACGGTCACCACCCTGCCCACACCCTCACGAAGGTGTAGGGCACAGCCAGCCTCTCGGCTGCTGCTATAAAAGCAGCTGTGTTCCACCCCCAGCTGCAACCACGGACTTGTCTGCTCGTCCCGTTTGCTTCTCAAGGCAGCTGCGGTGGGCGATCGCCGGCTCGCAGTGACCGGCCCCAACCCGGTGGGTGGGTGGGGGGTGGGGGGTGTCCAAGGCTGTAAATCTTTAGTAGAGCAGAAAGCCCCGTGTTTCCCCCAAGGAGCGGCTGGTTGTTTCGGACTGCTGTCCGCTGAGTCTGCAAGTTTTGGGCAGCGGACTCTGTGGTTCCCAGGCCAGGGCATGTTCCATCAGGGCTTTTCAGGGTGCAGTCCAGTGAGCGCAAGGTCAGAGGTTCAAACCCACCAGCTGCTCCCTAGGAGAGAGCTGAGGCCTCAGTGAAGGTTGTGATGCGTCAGACCTGCTTGGATGGTGGTGGGTGTGCTGGCACTGTGGTCAAGCAGGTGGCTGCTCGGTGGAGGTGCTGGAAGGCTGATGCCGGGGGTCCAGCACGCAGCAGTCTGTCCCCATAATGATGACAACCTTGGGGACCACCAGGGGTGGTGCTACTCTGCCCTACGGTGTTGCCAGAGCTGGAACCAACCGGAGGGCAGCAGGCCCAGTCCTTTGGAAACTGTGGCTGCAGAAAGATCAATCCCCCAAGGAGGCGGCTCCTGAGTGGTGGAGTGAATCCTGTCTGCCCGGCGCCCAGGCCTGTGGCTCTGACTGACTTTCCAGCACATCCCATGGTCCGGAGGGGTCCCAGACACACAGGCTGGGCCATGCCCACCGCCCTCCCTGGCCCCTCTCACTTCCTCCGGTGTCTCCCTCCCTCAGCCCCCGCACTCCTGGCGCAGTGCTGTGTGGTGGCTGCCGCCTGTCCTTGGGGGAACAGAGAGAAGAGCAGGCCCAGTGCTGCCCACCAGCACCGCTGGCACCATGGGGCCGGCCCTGGGGAGACTGCCACATGAGCCCACCCTCCCGAGACCAGTGTCTGACAAGGGAACCAATGCTCCAGATAAAGAACAGAGAGTCTGGAGCTGACTATCAGAAGAAGAGTCTGTTCTCGGTGTAGACTGTCATGGTGGCTCTTGATAGAGAGAATAACCCATTTACCCAACAGAGATAAAATGGTCACCGGTACAGGGTGGCTAGAGGTGGAATCAGGACCAAGGAGTTTGTGCTGAAGGAAGCATTCCTGTGGAAATGAGCACACAGATGGCCATCCCTGCCTCTGCCTCCAGCCCGACAGAGAGACAGAAGGGGGACAAGCAGAGAAGCAGGGATGAGATCACTGAGGAGGGAGATCACTGAGGGGGAGATCACTGAGGAGGGAGATCACTGAGGGGGAGATCACTGAGGAGGGAGATCACTGAGGGGGAGATCACTGAGGAGGGAGATCACTGAGGAGGGAGATCACTGAGGTGGAGATCACTGAGGAGGGAGATCACTGAGGTGGAGATCACTGAGGAGCAGATCACTGAGGAGGGAGATCACTGAGGAGGAGGGAGATCAGAGGAGGAGATCACTGAGGAGGAGGGAGATCACTGAGGAGGAGGGAGATCACTGAGGAGGAGGGAGATCACTGAGGAGGAGATCACTGAGGAGGGAGATCACTGAGGAGGAGATCACTGAGGAGGAGGGAGATCACTGAGGAGGAGGGAGATCAGAGGAGGAGATCACTGAGGAGGCGGGAGATCACTGAGGAGGAGGGAGATCACTGAGGTGATCACTGAGGAGGAGATCACTGAGGAGGGAGATCACTGAGGAGAAGAGAGATCACTGAGAAGGAGATCACTGAGGAGAAGATCACTGAGAAGGAGATCACTGAGGAGGAGATCACTGGGGAGAAGATCACTGAGAAGGAGATCACTGAGGAGGAGATCACTGAGGAGAAGATCACTGAGGAGGAGATCACTGAGGAGGAGATCACTGAGGAGGAGGGAGATCATTGAGGAGGAGGGAGATCACTGAGGAGGAGGGAGATCACTGAGGAGGAGGGAGATCACTGAGGAGGGAGGAGATCACTGAGGAGGAGGGAGATCACTGAGGAGGGAGGAGATCACTGAGGAGGAGGGAGATCACTGAGGAGGGAGGACATCACTGAGGAGGAGGGAGATCACTGAGGAGGAGGGAGATCA